TGTGGTATTGAACCTTATGGCAAAATTTCATAGAGATCCATTCACTAAAACTAAAGTTAGAGTGCGAAAACCAATGTGTCTTCGGACGACGCCAACGTCATACCAATATACGACCGCAAAAATAAAAATATGTATATAAATATGATTTGATGAAAATTTTTATAAGGTAGTTGAGTTATAAAGGTTTTAAGCGAAAAAATCATCAGGACCACATTGTTTGAACAAAATACACGCGTGCGCATGTGCGCAGTTGTGAGATTTAATTATGCATCCAAATTCTTCAAAAATACTAAAATTATCATTGATACCTTCATCTAACGTTCATTTCAAGTATTTTCTTGAAGAAATAACGTTGGAAGGAGCTTCTTATACTCGATTGTGCTTTTTAAACGTACACATATTTTTTGTATCCGTCTCTGGTCCGTGTTTTACCATTTTAAAGTCAACATCCGGTATGAGAAAATGTACCTTCAAAAACGAAAAAAAAAGATTTTGACAGGGATGATTTTGACAACGTAATATTCACAAATAAAGATTCTAAGGCATTTATTAATACGCTAATGTTGCACACTTCCAATGATGCACTGTCAATTTAACAGTTTACGTCAGTACAGCGAATTTGTATCAAAAGTCAAGTTTAATATCGTTTTTATGTCAATCATTCATTGTTTATATGATGCCCAACTGATTAGCATGATTACCTTTTGTTACGTAGTCTTAAGGGATCAAAATTGGGATAAGACAAAAAATGTCCAGCTGGCACACATATTTTTTGGAAGCCCTGCCTGTATCAACCCGAGACACCAATATAATCCCAAGAGCTATGCTCGAGGGATTATATTGGTTGAGGGTTGATACAGAGTGTGATACTGAAAAAGCCATATCATATACACTTTATTATATACATGTATCTCAAGTACAACTAATTTAGATGTTTTTTTCAAGTGACATGATGTAAAACATATATAAAGGGTTTGATAAATTCCTTGTAACCATGACTGATATCGATTACGTGATGTCATACAGATTAGGGGTTTGATAAAGCCTTTGCAACCGTGACTGATATCGATATTATCACGGTTGGCTGAAACAGCATGATTGCAATCGATTGTATTACACATACAATTTACTTGTATTTACTACTAAGTATATATAAAAAAAAATATGAAAAAAATCCGCATATTGAAAAATCTTGAAGAAAAAAAATATGAACCCCCCAAAAAAAATTTGAAAAAAAACCCTCCAAACTTTTTGACCCCCCCCCCCCCCTTGGAGTAATTACCCACAAACTCAATCCCAGCCTTCCCTTTGTGGTATGGAACCTTGTATTACAAATTCAGAGAGATCCATTCCCTAATTCCTGAACGTTTGGGACAATTACCCCAAAACTCAATCCAAGCCTTCCCTTTGTGATATGGAACCTTGTGGTACAATTTCTGAGTGATCCATTCACTTAAACTAAAGTTATTGTCCGGAAACTAAATGTGTCTTCGGACGACGCCATGACGACATGATACCATTATACGAACGCAAAAAATTTTTTGCAGTCATATAAAAAGGTGTTTATGGTAGATCTTCAGTCGTTTCTGTTAAATTTAAATTAATAACTTTGCAAGCTTCAAAGACACTGAGTGATTCAAAGCTTGACATATTGTTGAACTTCAAGTTAAGAAGTTTACAATAATAACCAAGTCAAGAGGCACCCAAATATCAGAAGTAGCTCTCTGAAAAAAACAAATGCCCCTTGGCATTTAAGACTGAGGCACAACTTAAGAAAAATTAAGATCTTGTACATCATAATTAAAAATTTCAAGGATTTTTTCAATAAATTTTATATAGAAATAAATTCATGTCATTTTGCACTTTGCATGTATTTAATTTAAGTTATATTAGTTGCATAAACGACCTGTGGCAAATAAATTAAGTAAATTCATGATGACTACAAGCATGACAAATTACAAGTATAAATACCAATATCAAGGATCTGGAAAAAAACTCTGAAACATGGATTATACAGTGTTCTCCCCAAGCCAATATGACACTGCGGTCCCGCAGCGCCTTCATAATATCTTCGTTGATCCCGCAGCGCCTTAATTGGCCGCTATCCCTTAAAACTTGATCCCGTAGCGTGATACTTTTCACATTTTAATCATAAATATTGGTTAAAATTGCCAAGTTGCTGATCACCGCTGAGACTGAGAGGTCTGTAAAAGTTGCGCAATAACTGATAATTAGCAAGTCTCTGCTTTACCTGTGCCAGCCTTATCAGACCATGTAATCAGGTTATAGCGTAAATTATCATCAAGAAGATAGATATTTTTTGTAGAAAATAAAAGTTTTCAAAATCTTCCGTGCGAAAATTGAAGAAATAGATCGCAAATACATTGTATTTATGCATCACTTGACCATTTAAGTAACAAATTTTTTCATTGGTCGAGAAGAAGAATCTATTTTAACACGACCAATATTATGAACATGATGAATACATGTGTTAAATTTGAATAAACATTACTAAAGAAATTTACGATGCTATTTATGAATGAGACTATTTGTACATCAAAAAGCAAAATAAACTTTTATTAAAGATAACGAGAAGTGATTTGTTCTGTTAGAAAGGTAAAAATTGTTACTTGCAAGTAAAATTCGTTTCTCAACTGTCACGTTTTAGAAATAAAATATTTTTTAACATCGTCCATTTATTTATCCATCGGGATACTTTGTACGGAATCTCTGCAGCATTTGTATAATAATGACACTAGTAAATAATTTCATTGGTCTTAACTTTGAAGTATTTTGTCAAGTTTCGTTTATATCTACCTGCCATAGAAACGTTTTGACAATATACCCATTGAAGCGTAATTAATGTCAAATTACGGAAACTAGTCAGATGTCAATTGCTATCTTTTTGTTTTAAAAAGTTTTACAACAAATATTTTAAACATATTCCATTTAAATTATGAATCAACATGTTCTCTCCAAATAAGAATTGGGTTAAGGGAAAGGCAGATGATTGAATTAAAAGTTTTTAACCCTCAAGAGGATAAAGAATGAGGAACAGACAGTCCAACAAAATTACAAACTGTCTCAGTCTTGTTACTAAATATCCCTAGAAGGAACAGAAAGTACAAATATAAATATTCCTGAAACTGTTCAGCACTGGAAGGCCCAGAACATGGGGATGTTTTCAGACTAGATTATACATTTTTACTTATTCAATTGACTAGCTGTGATATAAATGCTTTTTTTTCTGTTTAAAATATAAACATTCTTATTCTTTATCATGTTTTTTAATTATGTGCATTATAATTGCATATCATGATTTATGACTGACTGCTTCAGGTCACAATAGTTCGCTCAGTCTAAAATAGAGTTACGCGCCCTTGAAATTTTGCGCCTTAAAATTTTTCTGGGGAGAACACTGGGATAGAGGTACGATGGAGAGTCAGTTTGTACATGTATAATGTATATTCTGTTTTTTTTGTGGATATTTTTACATGTTGATACTGTCACCTCAATACTCCTCAATCAGTCAGAGCTCAGACATAAAGTCTAATTTTGCTTTTGACTTGTAGAGTTCTAAATTTGATGGGTTCTCTCCCTTTATTTTAAAACAAAATACAACTTCAACAAGTCAATTAATGTTGAGCAAAAAATATTTGACCTTTATCATAATGTTGCAATTAATGACTTCTTCAAGTCGAAAAGTTACATGTACATGTACCAAAATTGGTTAGCTTCAAGACCCATGCACAAATAAAATAAAAGGTCAAGCATCTACATGAAGTTGAGACAACAGTTAGGTCTTCTGAATAAAAATATGAGTTTGATTCTAAACAAAAGGAGACAATGTTCATTCACTTTCTGATGCAACCATTTATAACCATTAAAACTGGAAAAACAACTTAGATGTAGCAAACAACTGATCAATCAGATCATTACTAACCAAACCTTTAAACAGACTTATTCAGAAGGGATATAGTTACCATACTGTTGTCAGGTCATTAAAGATGGCATATTTTGGTACATTGTATTAATATTGATTCACTCATAGGGTCTTTGCATTGGAAATAAACAAATTTATTCTAAAACCAGTTGTTGGCATGATACGGGTTATGTTCTTCTCATATATTTTATGATGGTATGATACTAAACCCCTAACGGGAGGGATTGTGCTTGATTTTCATATGATGAAGACATAATCTTTCAATCAGTTTAATTGAGGTCTGGAGCTGGCATGTCAGTAACTGCTAGTAGTCCTTTGTTCATTTATGTATCATTGTCATTTTGCTTAGTTTCTTTTGTTACCTATTCTGACATCGGACTCGGACTTCTTTCAAACTGAGTTTTACTGTGCCTATTGCTGTGTGTTTGTTTATTCTACATTGGCTAGAGGTATAGGGGGAGAGTTGAGATCTCACAAAACATGTTAAACCCCGCCACATTTTTGCGCCTGTCCCAAGTCAGGAGCCTCTGGCCTTTGTTAGTCTTGTATGTTTTTTAATTTTAGTTCATTTATATGTTTTGGAGTTTAGTGTGACATCCATTTTCATTGAACTAGTACACGTGTTTGTTTAGTGGCCAGCTGAAGCCCGCTTCCGGGTGCAGGATTTTTACGCTGCGTTGAAGACCCATTGGTGGCATTCGGCTGTTTTCTGCTCTTTGGTAGGGTTGTTATCTCTTTGACACATTCCCCATTTCCATTCTCAATTTTATTGTAGATAGCTCAGGTCCTTGTAAATTCTCAGAAAAGATTTTATTGTCATAGGTTATATACTTTGACCACAAAGTCATATTATGTGTTTTTATCCTGTTTTATTAAACATAAATTGACTTTAACAAGCCTGTCATTTTCTGACTTAGACAAGTCCAAAATTGTAAACTCATTTTTATCAAAAAACATGATTTGACTTCTATAAGTCAGAAACAAAAAAAGACTTGTTTATGTCTGAGCTCTGATTTTCAATTTTGTTTAAAATGTGACATGACATGATTTACTTTACCTGATAAGCCTTTGCTGTCTCTGTGTCAATCAGACCTGGTCTGGGGACTCCACCAGGCTCTACTGGACCTTGTGATGTATGAGATGTGTCTTGAAATGAGAGTGATGAGTCTGTACTTGTATCTAATAATGAGGATTGTAATGTTGCTGCATCTGAAATCATCACAAAATCCATCAAGTTTTCAGGTAATAATCTTACAAAATCGACTGTAAGATTACCCATTTTTACAATTAGCTATATAAAGGTAAAATAAACTGTTACAAATGTATCACAGAGATATGTCTCGCCTTTTTGTAATTTTGATAATGCAAATGTTGAAATTAAAATTGCAATTAACATGTAAGTAATGCAAATATTCAAAGTCGATGAACCATGACTGAAGGTACATGGCTAAACAATCTCCATGGAATGAGATGTGCCAATGCTAATACAACTGCATACCAAATACCATTGACTTATTATAAGTCGTTCCCTTTAAACAAACCTAAACACAAACATTAACTTGTAAACTATGTAAAAGTTTCAAAGTCAATGAACCATGATCAGGGGTGGGGCTATATAATCTCCATGGAAACAATACTTGCAAATTCCAATAAATTTACATACCAAATATCAATGACTTAACATAAGCAGTTCATCTTAAACTGATCTAATCACAAACTAATACATGTAAACTAAGCAAAAGTTTCAAAGTAAATAGACCATGACTGAGGGGGCGGGGCCAAATATTCTCCATGGAAATGAGATGTGCTAATGCTTATACAACTGAACACCAATTAAAATTGGCCAACCACTAATGGTTCCCCTTGAACTGACCTAATCACAAACTAATACATGTAAACTTAGCAATATTTTCAAAGTCTATAGACCATGACTAAGGGGGTGGAGCCAAATAATCTCCATCGAAATGAGATATGCCCATGCATATACAACTGCATACCAAATATCATTGACCTACCACTAGTGGTTCCCCATAAATTGACCTAATCACAAACTAATACATGTTAACTATGAAAAGTTTCAAAGTCAATAGACCTTGACTGTGGGGAGGGGCCAAATAATCTCCATGGTAATGAGATGTGCCAATGCTAATACAACTGCATACCAAATATCATTGACCTACCACTAGTGGTTCACCATGAACTAGACCTAATCACAAACTAATACATTGTTGACGCCGCCGCCGCCACCGGAAACAGCATACCTATGTCTCGCTTTATGACTCCGTCAAGGCGAGACAAAAACCAATGGTGCTTTAACATAGTAACATATGTCACTTATCAAATCTGGATATTGCACTATGTTCACAGCATGAAACAAATCTTTATTCTTTTATATGACCAGAAATGTTCTAAATACAAATCAGTTTTGAAATAGTCAGGGTTTGCATGCCTTATCCATGTTATCTACAACTCATAAAATACAATGAATCTATAGAATAAATAGAAAGATGTTCAATTTCAGGGTTACAGAGTGAACTAGACATCATTGAGATGGGAGCCATCTCTGTGGGCCTGCTGTAAATAACGTGTGGTAAAAAATTTGTATCTTTACCATAGGACATGGGGTTGTCAACTGAAACCAAAGTTTTTGACCTTGACCTTTGACCTAGGAAGTTGTACATACATTATGACACTCCCTCTGGTGTTGGTTAATATACATGTCAAGTATAAACTTTGAAATCATAATGGTTCTCAAGATACAGATCTAGAGCGGACAAGATCTTTACCATAGGACATGGGGTTGTCAACTGGAACCAAAGTTTTTTACCTTGACCTTTGACCTAGGAAGTTGTACATACATGTACATTTTAACACACCCTCTGGTGTTGGTTAATATACATGTCAAGTATTAACTTTGAAATCATAACGGTTCTCAAGATATAGAGCGGACACAATCTTTACCTTAGGACATGGGGTTGTCAACTGAAACTAAAGTTTTTGACCTTGAACTTTGACCTAGGAAGTTGTACAAACATTATGACACACCCTCATATTTTTCATATTATGTTTGTTTTCATTTACATGTATTAAAGGTTCCACTAAAAATCAATCACAATGTAAGTCAAAATCTAGGACAAGGCTTATACATGTACATTGTATATATTGGAAAATAAATTCTACCTGTATTTGTAAAACTTCAATGAGTGCAGCCTTGAAATTTGACAAAGATAAACCTTTATATCAAATATACATGTAAAATGTCTTATTTTCTTTAAATACAAAGTTTTGGTTAGATAAAATATTGTTTCCCAAAAAACAGCTTTCTTAAAAAAATGTGTTTGTATAGATTTTGTCATGATGTCTATAAACATGATAAAGTGATGCCAAGATTTGTCTTAATAACAAAACATGCATTCATGTACATGATGTATATCAGGACCATTAGGACAAAATTAACATAGAGCACATGTCACGGATGTGTCAACCCTAAACTAATTTTGCATGCAATTAACACGTACACATCGAAATCATTTCTTGTGTAAATATTTTTGGGGAGAGGATGGTCATGATTGTGATCTATATGTACATGTTTTTCTAAACATGTTGAGCCAAACAGGTCAGATGAGTGTAATGTTATCATTTTACTGAATATATTGACATTTCTTAACTATATATAAAACACACGAAAAGCATGAAAAGGAAATATTGTAAACATGGTAAACCATTCTTCAATGCTTAATTACAGTACAAAGATTAAATGTTTACAAAATTGTGATCATGAAATACAAAGGATTTTAAAATTAATTTGACATGAATATGTTATAAACATGTCAAAATTAAATTTCTGAATCCTTTAGTTAACATGCTTAATTTCAACTTGTCATGAACATGTTGTAAACATATCAAATTTACTGAAGCCTTAATTTCAACTTGTCATGAACATGTTATTAACATATTAAATTTACTGAAGCCTTAATTTCAACTTGTCATGAACATGTTATTAACATATTAAATTTACTGAAGCCTTAGGTACCAGTCTTGTATTACAACTCCAGTTGCTGGTGCATGTCAAAACATGGAGTGAAATAAAATAGTCCATTTTTTTTTCTGAATTTTTTTCTGGACTCAATTTTTTATGTTTGATTAAAAGTTTATGCTGAATTGAAACATACATTTAGATTTAAAAAAAATATTGCATCCTTTTGGGGATATCAAACCAGGAAAGTGGAAGGATATCATGTTTACTGGAAGTGGTGCAGCCTAGTAAAAACAGAAAACAGAAAGTAGAAAAAATTAGTTTTGACTTCAGGGTTTCATAACCTTTTATTCTCGTGGCATGAGTAGTGTTTCCCCTATCACACAAAAAGGGCATGGTAACTTAATTGAAAAAGGGCATCTAGAGCATGCAAAAATATAAATAGGGCACCTACATCGTGTATGGAAAATTAACAAAAGGGCACCTACAGTATGCTGAAAACAAGAAAGGCAATAAATTGTCATATTGCATTGGTAAAGTATGGACTGGCAGTTGTTGATGGAATTAGAACTCAAGATAGCAAGTGTATTGTTTCAAAATAATATTGTATATGCATCTTTAAATAAAGATGAAAATAAACATTATTCCGGGTAACAGCAAGGGACCAAGGATGTACATGTATGTATATTACTAGCTATACATCTTTGTCAGACTTTGAAGGACTAATGCATAAATTTACTAGGCAGTATAATTACATGATTTGACTGATGTGGCACTTAAATATGAAGATTAGGATATAAGATCTGAAAATCTAGTTCAAAATTTCACTTCAATTAGTTTCAGGGGACAGTTCTGATCAACAAAAGTTGGGCCCCTTTTTTTAAACCAGGATTCACAGTATAAATGAACTTGTAGAACTTTGTAAGACTATTACACTGCATAATCATTATCCTTATAAAACGTTTAGATCTATATTTAGAACTCATTTCTATAAAGTTGGAACCAAGGATTTTTACAAATTCTTATTGGAATGATTCTAATCACTGTTAATTGTTAATTAATAGAGAATTGATCACGTTTACTTTCGATTTACAAATGAAATGTAAATGGGAAGTGACAAGTAGATAATAAATTCAGAATGAATCCGGATTCATCTACGGATTGGTTCGTTTTAAAAAAAAGTCAGTAAATTATCATTTTTTTTTAATATGATTTGCTTAGTAAGAACTATATTTGTCTCTCCTATTTATTTTAAACTAAATTTATATCGTAAACAGTAAAGGAAGCACTTGTTTGACTTGTGAAAACTTTTCTGAACGTTTTGAATAAAGTTCTATCTTTTTAATTGAAATTGAACGTTTTATACCAAAGATCACGAAAATACGATCATTTGACGAAACTATGACAAACTAACTGCAAATTGTGATCGTTTTAGAAATTTTGAAATTAAAAAGCGAACTGTCCGGGGGAAAACAATTTTGTTCAAATGACGAAACTACAACAAACGAACTACAAATTGTGGTCGTTGGCCTTGAGAAATATTGAAATTAAAATGCCAACTGACTGATTTTACTGGGGAAAATTATTATGGTGGTCAGTTATGAGGTTTATTAATAATTAAGGGATTAGTGACCCATCCCATGGCGAAAAGCGGATTAACTGTAATCACAACTTTATAACACCTGTTGTACATGTTAATTAGCTGAGGGTCATAAACTTGCCAGAAACATGAAGACAGGAAGAAAGGGCATTTTTTGAGACAATGGCGTCACCCAAAGAAGTGAAAAAAGGGCATGGCGTCATTTATTAAGACAAAAAAAAGGGCATGGCATCATTTAAATAGGGCATGGCGTCTATCCATGCTAAACATGCTTGGGGGAAATTTTCACGTTACTACATACATGACATACATAATAAGTACATGAAAAAAGTTTGTATGTAGCATTTTAATATAAAATAAATGTCAAATGTGTCCATGGGACACAGATGATGCCCCCGCTTGCATATCATATAAAGATATAAAGGGACATAACTGAAGAACAGTAAAAGTGACGCTACCCAAATTTGTACTTGATCTGTATTAAGTGGTAATAAGCATTGTGTAAAAGTTTCATAACATTTGGTTGAGGCAAACTAAAGTTAGAGAACGGAAACGAAAAACTCAGCAATTTTTATGTTTATAAAGGGGCATAACTCAAGAACCGTTATCATGACGGCACCCAATTTCAAACTTGATCTGTGTTTTGTGGTAATAGGCATTGTGTATAAGTTTCATGACATTTGGTTGAGGCAAACTAAAGTTAGAGAACAGAAACCAACTTTGGGACGTACATCTAAGACGGACAAGGGTAAAACTTAATGCCCCCTCCGCTACTGCAGGGGCATAAAGATTTTCACAGATCAGCTGTTTTACAACTTGTCATGAACATGTTATTAACATATTAAATTTACTGAAGCTTTAATTTCAACTTACATGTATCATGAACATATCATAACCATATAAAATTTACCGAATCCTCAATCTTACTTATCAAGAACATGTTATATATATACGTCAAATTTACAAAACCCTTAATTTTACTTACATGTATCATGAACATGTTGCTTACATCCACATCATTGAAATCTGGTGGATATTTGTCTTATTCCCAATCATACCACATCTCCTTATAATTATATATTTTATATACATGTATATACAAATGTAAATTAGATACCTGTACTAAAGGAGTCACTAGTACTGGCATTCAGGTCTGTTTCCATTTTTACTTCCGTGGCATTAGAACCTGATGGTGCTGACACCTGTGACAAATCTCTACTGATATTGTCAATGTTGGCATGCAGAGCCACAGGAACAGCTTGTCCATCAACCATCTGTGAAAATGAGTTTGGTGAAATTGACATTCCAGGGAACACAGTTTGTGATGAAAGCTGATTAGATGAGTTTGTGTCCTGGAAACTTGTCTGACGTTTCACAGAACTGGAATCTGGTAGTTTCTGCTCTATGCTAAATGACTGACTAGAAGGAGGGACTTCCGTTGATAATATGCATTGTCCAGACACTGCCTGAACTGTCTCTGCAATTATATCATCCAATGATTGTGAACCAGTAACTGGTGATACTGAAAATGCTGATGAACTCATGGGTGGTGCTAGATATGAACTGACTGGTGGTGCTCCAAGAGCAAAATTTCTATTTGAACTAGCTGTCCTTGTAGACTCAGAACTAAAGCTTGAAGAAAAAGTAGGTGTCAGTGTTGTTGTTGTTGAAGTATATATTGCAGTACCTGTTGACAAAGCTTGTCTGTTTTTGGCCTTTTGCAATAGCTGACCTGCTCGCCTAACAATTGGAGTGCTTGTTTTACCAATTTCTTGTCTATTTGAAGAAAACATTTTCTCTGTTGGTGAGGATCCATCAATCTCAATAACTTCAGTTCTAGCACGTTTTTCTTGTCTTGGAATAGAAACAGAAGAGTTGGACAAGCTTCTTTGTTTTAAGTACCCTTGTGAAGGTATCTGTCTCAAATTGGCACTTTGGGATATTGCACTGTTCTGATTGGAATTCTGTCTAAAATTGTTATTGTTCACCCTATTCTGCATTTCTCCGTGAGACAGATCTATAATTCCCACTTCACCACGAATATTCTCCGACTCATCTGTTGACTTCTGCTGAGCCTTGTCCTTAATTCTTGAGGCTGCATTCAGCTGATGGACAGGTTGTGATGCATGAATATCTGAGTAATATTGCCCAACATCACGACCAGTGGATGATGAAGAATGACAATTCCTACAAGGTGCTGGAGGTGGTGCAATATCAGATGTTATAGTGTCTTCTTCTAACCATTTGGGCTTTGTTTTCACATTGTGGTCTATAAAACAAAAGTAATAGTATATTTATGATTGAAAGCAAGATTAAATGATTTGTGTTTAATATCAAAATTGGTCCCCAAACACATTAACACTTGTGATAATTCATACCTGTCAACCTATGAAAATGAAAATGCAGGTCATGACCTGCATTATTGAAGAAGAAAATCTCAGGTCATAATGCGTACAAACTTTTTTCAGCTGAATTTAAGTATTTAGGGGACATTTTTTTATATTGTAAACAGTTTCCAAAACATGTTCACATGGATAAGTATTGACTGAAAATAATTTAAAACTTTAATATTTTTTTTTTCATTGCATTTATTAACCATTGAAATATTAATGTATTATACTATATCAATTCAAGCCAAGTCATATCCCCTTTTTAATTGCTACATTCACAATTTTAAACATGCTATTCAGCATCACTATACAGCTGTACTTATCATGCTTATTAGTCTATTTAAAAGTTGATATAAGAAGATATAATTTAAAATTTAAGCATTTATCTCTTTATCTACCACTGACGGATATATACACAGTTTTTATCATCGTTCTGTCCGCAGTGACTGATAAATCCGCTTGCATAATCAAGCGTGTATTCGCAGTGAATGAAAGATTAGCTGTAAACATACAATTGCGCAGTCTAGGTGACGGATATTTCCGTAAAATATACCCCTGTTAAAACCCTTTAGACATGTTAGATTGGACAAAACTGTTGGGGAATCCCAAAATGAACCAATGAAATTTGGTTTTACAAATGAATAATCTTTCAACTTGTACATTCCTTTTCTGAAAAAAGTGTATGTTTATAAATTTAATTATGATGAATTTTACACGAGTTTGGAATGCGATTAAAACAATGGCGGATGAATGGGCTTTTTTGTTCAAATCGTATAGCGAAAGTGAAGAATTTGAAGGATTTATGCAATAAGAAAGCAAAATTGGAAATGTAGGAAGGGATAATTTAGTTTGTCGGAACAAGATTGTGAGTCTTCCGAGCATGAAGAAGCCAAACATGGACAAATAATTGAAAACTTTTTAAGTACGTTTACGGCAGCTTTCAAGCTTGATAAGGAAAAGAAGGAAATTGATTTGGTATTAATTTCATTTTTCAATTAATATACAATAAATACTGATTAATTAAACATTTAATTAAAGTACATTGTACTCATAACACAGCCTTAACAATTTGAGAAAAATTCTCTCACTGCAAATTATCTCTGGTAGTTAACCAGTAGCTAACTAATCAGCAATGTGTAGTAGTGAGCTGTAAAGGTACCTGTGGTAGATAAGAAGTTAAAGGAAGTCAAGATGAAAAATATAATTTTCAAAATATTAAAATTTTGATTGTTCTAAGATAGAAATAAATGTGGATAGTGTCCACATGTGGACACAGATGATGCCCCCGCTTGCATATCATATAGTTATAAAGGGACATAACTGAAGAACAGTAAAAGTGACGCTACTCAAAGTTGAACTTGATCTGAGTTTTGTTGTAATAAGCACTGTGTATAAGTCTCATAACATTTGGTTGGGGCTAACTTAAGTAGAGAACAGAAACTAAAAATTCAGCAATTTTTCTATTTGTAAACACGCATAACTCTAGAACAGATGTGTATAAGTTTTATAACATTTGGTTGAGACAAACTAAAGTTAGAGAACGGAAACGAAAAATTCAGCAATTTTTATGTTTATAAAGGGACATAACTCAAGAATGGTAAAAGTGTCCGTACCAAATTTCGTACTTAATCTGTATTATGTAGTAATAAGCATTGTGTATAAGTTTCATAACATTTGGTTGAGGCAAACTAAAGTTAGAAAACAGAAACAAAAAATTTGTACTTGATCTTAGTTTTGTGGTAATGAATATTGTGTATAGGTTTCATAATGTTTGGTTGGGGCAAACTTAAGTTACAGAATGGAAACTAAAAATTTTGCAATCTTTCGATTTATAAAGGGGCATAACTAAATAATGGTTAAAGTGACACTACCCAAATTCAACTTGATCTGTGTTTTATCAGTGGAAGTCAAAATTTAACATTGCATTGTATAAAGCATTGATTGTTGTTGATTCAACTATAATCATGGAGAAAGGAAGATAACTTCAATTTTAATAAAATGCTCCGTTGGGCGCAGCTTGATACGACCGCAGAGGTCGAACACTGAACAGTTGGGGCAAGTATGGACACAACATTCAAGCTTGATACAACACTGAATTTGGATTGTGATTAAATATTTGACCAGTCAGGGGACTTACTTAAATTAGTGATTTTCTAAATCACTGATTCGAGTAACATTATGTCCATAAAGGTTGGAAGTAAGAGTTGTCTTTCTTTAATAATCACCTATTTAAGTAGTACAAATTAATCACTAGACTCAGTGATTTAATTTTGTTGTAGCTTTAAATATAGAATATTAATGATCCAGGGACTAATTATGTTGCTAAAATTATCAGAACCAACATCTGTGTTGATAGGATGACCGGGTCGTGTCAGGTGATGAACTTGTACTAAATCTAGGATAATGACATAATAAAATGCTCCGCAGGGCGCAGCTTGATACGACCACAGAGGTCGAACCCTGAACAGTTGGGGGAAGTATGGACACAACATTCAAGCTTGATACAGCTTTGGATTTGGATTGTGATTAAATATTTGACACAGCATAGGTTTCTAACACAGATTGAATGTGGTCTAAGAACTTTAAAATTTTAAATTGGACATTCACCTATTATGGTCCAATATCCAAAATCTAAATACATGGTTAGATTCAGCATATCAAAGAACCCCAAGAATTCAATTTTTGATGAAATCAAACAAAGTTTAATTTTGGACCCTTTTGACCTCAATGTGGACAAAGTTGATAACGGGGCCCAAAAATCAAAAATCAAAATACATGGTTAGATTCAGCATATCAAAGAACCCCATATATTCAATTTTTGTTGAAATCAAACAAAGTTTAATTTTGGACCCCGATTTGGACCAACTTGAAAACTGGGCCCATAATCAAAAATCTAAATACATGTTTAGATTCAGCATATCAAAGAACCCTAAGAATTCAATTTTTGTTAAAATCAAACTAAGTTTAATTTTGGACCCTTTGGACCTTAATGTAGACCAATTTGAAAATGGAACCAAAAATTAAGAATCTAAATACACGGTTAGATTCGGCATATCAAAGAACCCCAATAATTCAATTTTTGATGAAATCAAACAAAGTTTAATTTTGGACCCTTTTGACCTCAATGTGGACAAAGTTGATAACGGGGCCCAAAAATCAAAAATCTAAATACATGGTTAGATTCAGCATATCAAAGAACCCCATATATTCAATTTTTGTTGAAATCAAACAAAGTTTAATTTTGGACCCCGATTTGGACCAACTTGAAAACTGGGCCCATAATCAAAAATCTAAATACATGTTTAGATTCAGCATATCAAAGAACCCTAAGAATTCAATTTTTGTTAAAATCAAACTAAGTTTAATTTTGGACCCTTTGGACCTTAATGTAGACCAATTTGAAAACGGAACCAAAATTTAAGAATCTAAATACACAGTTAGATTTCGGCATATCAAAGAACCCCAATAATTCAATTTTTGATGAAATCAAACAAAGTTTAATTTTGGACCCTTTGGACCTCAATGTGGACCAATTTAAAAACGGGGCCCAAAATCCAAAAACTAAATACACGGTTAGATTCAGCATATTAAAGAACCCCATGAAATCAAGAATAAAACCCCATTGAAATTGGTCAAGAAATAAGCAATTTATAGGAAGTATCTTCTTTTGCACAATCCTGTGCTATTAAATATTTCTTGCTATTGCGCAATACTGTACAATTGACAATTTCTTGCTATTGCGCAATATTGTGCTATTGGATATTTCTTGCTATTGCGCAATACTGTGCAATTGAAGATTTCTTGCTATTGCGCAATACTGTGCAATTGAAGATTTCTTGCTATTGTGCAATACTGTGCAATTGAAAATTTCTTGCTATTGCACAATACTTATTATATAATAATTTACACATCCTGTTTGGTGTGTATCTCCTACCATATCATTATTATTTGATTTTAAATATAAATCAGAAATTACCCACTTTAAATGGAAAATTTTTAAAGAAACAAAAAAGGAAAAAAAGAAAAAAAAGGAAAAAAAATAAATCCCCCCCAAAAATTTTATGAACCCCCATTATGATTCATCACCCCCAAACTCAATCCCAGCCTTCCCTTTGTGGTATGGTACCTTGCAGTACAATTTCAGAGAGATCCATACTCTTGAACACAAGTTATTGTCTGGAAACTAGAAAAAAATGTGTTTTTTGGCCCCTTTTTGGCCCCAAATTCCTAAACGTTTAGGGCAATTACCCCCAAACTCAAACCCAGCTTTCCCTTTGTGATATGGAACCTTGTAGTTCAATTTCAGAAAGATCCATACACTTACACACAAGTTATTGTCATGAAACTAGAAAAATGCTTGTTTTTTGCCCCTTTTTTGGCCCCTAATTCCTAAAATTTTGAGGCAATTACCCCCAAAATCAATCCCAGCATTCCTTTAGTGATATGGAACCTTGTGGTACAATGTCAGAGAGATCCATACACTAACACACAAGTTATGTCTGGAAGTTACAAAAATGCTTATTTTTGGCCCCTTTTTGGCCCCTAATTCCTTTACTGTTATTACCATAACCCCCAAAATCAATCCCAACCTTCCTTTTGTGGTATTGAACCTTGTGGTAAAATTTCATAAAGATCCATTCACTTAAACTAAAGTTAGAGTGCGAAAACCAATGTGTCTTCGGACGACGCCGGACGACGACGACGACGACGCCGGACGACGACGACGCCAACGTCATACCAATATACGACCACAAAAATTTTTTTGCGGTCGTATAAAAATCACTTGTTTAAGTATCATACCTCAATTTCCTTCCAAAAAATCACTTCTTTAAGTATCATTATTTTAATAACCCCCACTAATTTCAACACCCCCGAACAG